AAACACTCTCAGTAGGTAGGAACAGCCTGTGTTGACATCTCTCTGCCACCCTGTTTTTCTCCTTCCAACTTATTCCCCTCTATCACGCTATTCACTGCTTTGCTAATGATCTGAATACATATTTTTGATAGATTTATTCCGATGTCCATCCACCGCCTCTTGTACCTTTCTCCTCTCTGTTTCCTCCATATAGAGCTGCAGGTAAGAGGGTTTGACCAGAAGGGGGTGCAGCTTGACGTCCTCCCCTCCTTCCCAGTGACTCCTCTTCATCTCCCTAAATGTTCTTTCACACTTGGTGCTGGCAGACACACTCACAGCGTGCAGACTATTTAAGCTACATGGTCAGAATAATTCATGCAGGAAATGATCACAGCCACAGGAATGATTAATTTCGAGCGGTGACAAGCTGACATGACTGATCGCCAGGCTTTTAATACTCGCGGCCATTCAGGGATAGCATCCATCACAGTGACCCTAACTCCTGCAGAGGTGTGTGAACTGTGTGTGTGTGTTCCTGTCTGTTTATGTGCATTCAGTGTGTGTGTATATTTAAGCATAGTTTTACAAATGTATCTAGATGGTGAAAGATTTGCAGCAAAGCAGACCCAACCTAAACTATAACAACCAACCATGATGTAACCCACCAGAGACACACTTACACTTACACTTCATCATATTTGTATCCTTTTACCTACATTAGGAAAGGCGTCAAACCTGTCCAACCAAAATATTTTGCTGTGTGTCTTTCCTTTCACAGTTTCGATAAACAGGAACCTATCATTGACCAAAGGCCGTTCAGGATAATTGGGAGTGTGGCAATAAGGGTGATAACGCAATTTGCCTGCTGATTATGCTACAGATCAACTTGGCATCACAGTCAATAGCAATAAAATAAGCATTTAAACGAGTGTGACGCAAGTTTTGTGTTTACGTTCCACTTACCACTAGCATGTTGGCATCACTAATTGTTTTATTTAAAATGTTGTTTGTTTTTATTCTTCAAATTGACTACCAATAGATTTTGAGTTTTGGTCACTTTGGGTATATGGTGGGTAGTAACATGTTATATTGACTCTGTTACATATACTTGAGTAATGATTATTAAAAAAATGTACTAAACACTTTTTACTCTTAAATGAGTATATTTTCTATCAAATGTATGTACTACAACTTACTCTGTTACATTAGGTTACAAACTTCTTGCTGCTATTACTGATACATTAAGCTCTAAAACATTTTTTCAATTATTGCACGACAGCAACAGTTAGGACAACTGACATGCAAACAGCATTATGGACCATTTGTTTTTCTTGTTTTGTTTGCAGCACCCATTTTGTCATTTGTCTGGTTCTGGATATGGCATTTAAATGAAAATAAACGTACACAGTAACCTGTTGAGAGTTGTGATATCCTTGTTTAATCTTATTCAAGTTGTTATGTAGTTTTACCTCTACTTGACTCTATATAATTATAATGTAACCATGCTTTACCATTTTTGTTTACTCACCACTTTGTGCACGGTGAGATGTAGGACCCTCTTTAAATCTGAGTACTGAGTTTAAACAAGTAAATCTGTAGGCATGTGCTGAAGAGTCTTTGACACTCTCTACATTTACCTGTGGAGGGACTATAAATTAAGAGAAATCTGTCATAACGCCTTTGTGTTATTTCTAGAGTGCCAGAGATGCCATCTGCCCTGTGCTCCGTGTCAGTGTGTGACAGGACATAGCTCGTCTCTGCGGACCCCCGGGGGGCTCCCACACCTTTGGCCTAGACACCAGCTCTGCTCCGCTGGAAGTTGTTGGTTGCCATGGAGTTAGTGGGGTCAGCCAGACCCTGCTCATCAGTGTTCAGGTCAGTTGATTGTGCTCTGGATGCTAATGATGTGTAATGAGTCTGTCCTTGGCAAAGGAGAAACTGTGTGTGTGTGTGTGTGTGTGTGTGTGTGTGTGTGTGTGTGTGTGTGTGTGTGTGTGTGTGTGTGTGTGTGTGTGTGTGTGTGTGTGTGTGTGTGTGTGTGTGTGTGTGTGTGTGTGATCTTGTCATCTTGTCATCTTGGCTTTTCCTTTGTCACTTTGAGCTCTTCTGTGACAGCCTTGTACAAAAATGTAACACTTCCTCACCCTCACACTCTCTCTTGTACACACTTGTAGTCTCTACACACAGATTATTTTTTCTTTCAGTCTTTTTCACCAAATCCTCTGTCATATTACTTTTTATTCTACAATTTTTGGCTTTGCAACATTCAATACTGAGATAAGAATGCAAACTGCTGAGATCAATACTGTTAAAATTAATCCCTCCATGTCTCAGAAAGATTTCTCTGCCTTCTTTATCGATCTTCCTGTCCCATTCTGCTCTCTTCCTCCCACTCCACCCAGAGATATGGCACGGATGATTTCAGATTTGGACATCTATCTTTTGGTCCCATTTCTTTGTCTGACGGACAAAGAGCTTTAGCAGTGCAGGACCCCACTGACCACACTGCCTTTCTGTTATCGCTGCCTCTCTTTAGCCAGTCTTTCCGGGAAATGCACTTTGCTTCAGTACCACACAAACAGGAGCGCATAATTCAAACAAAAACTCAGAGCAGACAAGTGTTTACTCCGGTGTCTCAGGGCAGCTCGTGAGCATCTTGGGTCAGTAATGGTTCAACACAGGTTAGAGGAAAAACAGCAAGTGCCCACAGAAGTGGGATATTTAAAGATGTATGGATGAATGCACAAATGCGTAGTGTGTGGCTTGGGTAGATTGTGTGTCTATTGAACTGTGTCTTGTATCTTCGGGTTGAAAGAGGCGCCCCTTAGAAGAATGAGTCCTTCACCTTGCAGTACACCATTTCCCAGACATTTAACACCAATCTGAAACACCTGAAAAACACACAGGCAGTGACTGACACTGACTGTGAAAACACACACATCACACTTCTGACATGTTTAATGAAGTATGACTGAAGTTCACTGCGTTTATCTATCAGGATGCTATGAAAATAACTGCCTTGGAAAATGAGTCAAAATCAATTTAATCTTTTAAATCCCTTACAAAATCACTTCAATAAACAGGCTGTTATCGCAATCAATTCTTAACACTGCCGTTAGAAACATTGAGGATCCTTTGTTTTTTCCTGTAATACCCAAACTCCTGTATTTGATTGCACACTTCTACGTTTAGCGGATCTTTGTTCATTAGTTGTTTTTAACGCATATATTTAGATATATTATTTTATTATTTATTAATTGTTGCCCCTGGGTTTTATTGTAGGAACGTTGTTGTATGATAAACACTTTGTAAACATTGTTTTAGGAAAAGCTATACAGTTGTGTATATGTATAAACTATTATTATTATTGAGTACCCGATCTCAAGTATTTTCACCCTTATGCAAATGTAGTCTTAATGTGTGTTCATGCTGGGAGTGGGACATTGCACTGTGGCACCCCCTACCTGCAACTGAACAGTTTACAGCCCCTCAGGGCTGAAAGTATATCAACACCAAATGCACTTAGTCCTTCATAATTTAATTTCTATGTACAGTTACACTCTTCTGTCATTCCCGCCAGGTGTGTACAGATGTTGAGCTTCTGTCTGGTGTCAGGTGAGCTGTTTTGCCGCTGCTCTGCACTGAGCGTCTCATTTATCTTTTTGAGGCTCTTTGTGGGGTCAGTCCTCTGTCCCAGATGCTCCAGGTGTCCCGGAGACACTGATCAACCTGCTGCTCTCTGACAGGCTGTGCTCACTGTGATGGATCCCAGGGAATACTCCCATCCCTCAAGGTGTGCTGTACACACACACGTTGTGAAACAGCCTTTTAAAACCCGTGTTAAATATATGCATTCTAGCTTTTGAAACAATCTTCATTTACCCATAACACAAGTAGTTCCCTAGCTCATAAAGCTAGCAGTAGTGAGTGTTTCCTTCACGTCTTTGACATCAGTTTTAGTTTATTTAATCTACAAGGGTCTGCATTCAGCTTTCAACATTTTTAAAACGAACTATGTATGACTATAATTAATGTCTGCAGCAAGAAAAAAAAAATTGTTTAGACCTTTGATGAACTTAATATCTTAGAAGACCTTTTTATTTGGGCGAACACTAATGTTTACAGCACACTGCCGTGTAAAACATGATTGACATTAGATGTCAATGTAATTGTTACCTTAAACTTCTGATATAACTTAAGAGTTGTCTAAAAAGGCAGTGGATGAAAAATAAATGACATTATTTATCGTGTTTAAGTCACTCAATAACCAGAAGGCACGTCAGAATAATTAATTTATCATTTTATTTGTAAGTCGTGTCTGATATACAAGCACAGGACAAAAATGTCACCATAGTAAAAAGAAAGCTATAATTCCCTGCTTTTGTTCAATAAGCAATTTCTTTATTTAGTATACAGACTGTGCAAAGGACCCATAAGCCTCAACTAAAGCATAGGGACACAAATTAATTTAGCTGATTCATCTCAAACAGAGCTAGTGTGATTGTTTTGCAACTTCACAAGAATCCTTCCCACATGATCATGTTCACAGGAAGCTTGCAAGCACATGTAAATTCACAACCATAATCATTCACATCACTGGGTTTGTGGTTTACAAGCATCAGGAAACAGAAGCAGAGCCAGCTATATCTATCCCTGAATAAACCCTCATTCAAAGTCAGTGGGCTCTCAACCACCTCTGGCTTCACAACAGGCACTGATAACCCCAATCACGCTTTAAATAAAATGTTGACTTGCTTGGCGTAATGTGAACATTATCTGTAGTTAATTGTACAACCTCACCTCCTTGTAAAAGGTGTACCCTTAAATCATTGAGGGTGTAATGCAACAAATGCAAATTGCTCGCCACAGAAAACTGTTGAGGCCACTCATCTGTTTAAATTGATGAAACGGTCTTCAAATGCCCTGACCATTAGCTTCACATCTTTAAGGGGTCATCTGATAAATGACATCTAAGAACCTTCAGCAGGTAAAAAGAACAAACTAGATGACACACATGCAAGATTATTTTTACCAAAAAACAACCTAAGTTTATTAAGAGTAGAGGAATTATTGGATGTGATGTTGGTCGGGTTTCAACAATGCCTTTGTGCATATCAAGTAGAGAGACTTCTTAAATTACATGATTTGTTTGCCCGCTCTCCATTTCCTCATTGCTGCATCAGCTCCATGGCAGTGTTGCTTGATGTCCATCAAGCGCTGATCATTCTCCTCCTAAACTGAGTCCAACCACGTCCGGGCCAACTAGTGCTGTTTTTTCCTGAATGAGCATCCTGTGGAAAGATGGAGAAAGTTTTAGGCTGTTATGTTGAATTTGGGTTGATTGTGACTAAAAGCCCTTCAAGATAAAAAAAAAAAAAAAAACTACTACCAATTATTTGCAATATAGATTAGTTCTCGATTAATCAATTCATTGTTTGACCTGAAAATGTAAAAGTATCACAAAAATAAAAAAGCTGTACAATTTCCCAAAGCCTAACGAGACATTTCCAAATGTAAGGGATGTGCAACTGAAAGCACCAGAAAGACCTCAAGTTGTTCTGGTGTTTCTGTACATTTGAGGTTAAGAACTTTTGGGCCCTTTAATAAAAGGACTATAACTTTCAGAAAAGTATGCTTTGTAGCAAGGCGTTTAGCTAGGTTTATCAAGTAAACTGAACTAAATAGTGCTTTAACAATCTTAAGGATTAGAGGTACAAAGCCAGTAAAACAGCTGCGATGTGTATAAACCGACTCAGAGTCAAGGATATAACAGATAAGAGAACACTAAAATGTAGCTATCTGCCTTTTTCATAGACTGAATCACCTCCAAACACATGGTTTAAGTGCCAAAGGTTGCACTCATAGTAACTCAAAGCAGCAGAGCGCACTGAGCATGTGGTTACCACGGCAGCAGAGCACCAGATAGAGTGGGTGGGACCGTGAGAGCTTCAGTAAAAAAACAAACCTTGACCTTAAGCTTAACCACTTCACCAACATCTTTTATACAGTAACAGCATTCTTTATGTACTCCGACTTGGGAAGCAATTCTGATACATACTATATCAGAAAGAAAACGATATGCTGTCATTCTAAAAGTATATCCCATTGTACTCAATGTAGGAAGTCTAAACAAACGTAATATACAAACATGTGTGCTTGCAGAGTGTGTAGAAATGGATCAATGATGATGAATTTCTGTCACAACCACAAGAGTCACTGTATGCCTTAGTAGACACCCCTTTCATGACGGAAACATTGAAAAGGCAACACAAAAGGCAAATATATATGGCTATCGATTTAGGGAAAGTTGTTGTTGGTAATCCATCCCTTCCAATGAATGTCATATGTTTCAAATAGATACGACAACCTGTCTGTGAGGCTAATTGTCAGTGATGGATGAAATCAATTTTCAATTCCAGTCAGGGTCAGCCAGACGGTTTCCAATAGACATTGGTTTATAATGAATGCATGATATAAGAACAAGCATAGCACATTTATAGAAAAAATTCTATGCTCTAAGTGACATCAGTATATACGTTTTATACATGGATGTGTAGTGCTAAACCTGTATTTGGCGTGATCGGGTAGACCATTTATTTCCGTTGCATGCTGGTTACCTTCTGTAAGGCGAGCTTTCCCTCCTGTAGGCTGGCAGAGCACTGTGGAGCAGCCGACACACAGCACTACAGTCTGAGCGTGACTGAACACCGTGGTGATCTTGTAGCAACCTGCAGGCGGCACAAACATAAAATCATTAGATGAAAACGCCATTATAACCAGTTAGACATATATACTTTTGGGTACTGATATGTCCTTGCAGCTGTCCATGTAAAGGAATTACTTGAAACTCATTTAACAGACAGTCACAAGTGTTGATGTATGCCTTATTTGACACCCTGATCACTATGAGAACAATGAAAGGGCAACACATAAAGGCAAATATTCTTAATACACGTCTAATGTAAGAAAGTATTTCAATCTGGAATATATAAAAGGTGAAAAATGACAACTGAATTACAAGTCATAAAGTTAAAGTCCTGCAGTTAGGCTTTAAGTTTTTCAATATTTAAGTTTTGTGGGAGTAAACACAGCTTTTAATTTTGTATTTGTAAATATTTTTTGATAGAATCTTCTCATAAATGTATTGTAATTTGTTCTACTCTACACGTTTCTTGTTTATTTTACTATGTTTTTTCCATGCACCATTCCAATATAACACATTTATTGTATAGGAAAATACTTTCTGGCTCAACTTTTGTACTTTGCACATGCATCTCTCATCTAAATTATCTATAAAAGTCTGACTAGGTTATTACTTATTTAATACATCCTATGGTTGCTTAGTAAACACACTGACCTGGACATTTGACATCCATAAAGTAGGAGTTGGGACTCTGAACGAGGCGTTTTTTCTTGTGACACCTCTTCTCCTCCTCAGAGCTCGGGTGTAACAGATCCTTTGCAAGCTGGAAATAAAATAAAAAAGGAAAACAGTTAATCATACGTACTCTGGAAATTACGGTTATATAAGGATACAGTTAAGTGGTCTACAAACGTTACGATAAGATAACCGGAAGCAAAGGTCGTTTTACAGCTTTCGAAATCAGTAAATGCGATTAATAGAATAGTTAAAGTGAAACGGAGTAAATCAAGGATATTTCAAGCGTGTACACCCATTCTGATTCAGCATATAAACTAGGATCGTCGAAAGTTGAGTTTAACCCTGAAAAATTAATCAGCATTACAGACCGCGTGGCTGCTTTGTTGAACACGTGTTTCGCCATATTGAGTCCGTTGTACATTTATATTACAGCACTAAACACGTTGATTTCTCACTCAAACGAAACACTTAATTGCAGTGTATTAAATTACCACTATGAATAAACCATTTTAAACAGTTGATGGCAACTATATAAGTCGAAGAACTACTTACTGGCATGTCTGCGTTGTAGAGCTCCTGTCACCAAAAAAGCACACTGACGACAAACCGGAAGTGAATAGGCAAAGACCCGGCGGAAGAGAGAAGAAGAAGAATATATATTATTTATTTTTAAATATATTTTTTAAACATCAATTTATTCAAACTACGTGTCAGCGTTGACCTACGCAAACTTGCAAAAATATCTACCAAGAAACAGCAACACGCTTTTAATTAGAATATTTATACAACGGTTTACCTTTTTTTTTTAAACGTGGCATTCCAATGACTTCTGTCTGAAATGTGTCCAGCAGTGGTGGGAGAAGTACTCAGATCTTCTACTTAAATAAAAGTAGAAGCACCAGAGTGTATGAATACTCTTTTACAAGTATAAGTACTTCAATCAAAATGTTACTCAAGTAAAAGTACAAAAGTATTAGCATCAAAATATACTTAAAGTACCAAAAGTAAAATGACTCATTCTGCAGATTGGCCCATTTCAGAATAATATGATATGATATGTTTTGATAATAATGTATTGATGCATTAATGTGTTTGTCACAGCTGGTAAAGGTGCAGCTATTTTTAATGACTTGTTATGCTGCAGGGAAGCTTGTGAATTTACTCCAGGTGTTACTAAAGTGTGATTTAAGTGTTGATTATATTTCACATCCTTAATCCAAATCTGCAAAGTAACTAAAGTTATTAAATATTTGTTTCGGAGTAAAAGTACACAATTAACCTCTGAATTGTAGTGGAGTAGAAGTACAAAGTAGCAACAATTGAAATACTCAAGTAAAGTTTCTCAAAATTGTACTTAAGTACGGTACTTAAATCTACTTGAGTAAATCTTCTTAGTTACTTTACACATCTGGTGTCCAGACAAACAAATTGAATTTAGCTACATGTTTAAAAAAAATCAGATATGAGTTGTATTTCATGTGTCTACATTTTGACCCATGAGCTCCACACTTGACCCTAGGCATTGACTGATAATGCTGTATATTTGCCCTAAGGTAACTTTAATGGGTCGCCTTATGTCTGCCTGACTACTTATTTTCCCCATTACAGTTAAACAGCATGAGGAGAACAAAGCATGTGTCAGATAACCACACCAGAGACCACAGCTTGTGGCATTAAGCCTTAAGGTATGCCGTTTATTGATGTTTTTACTTGTAACTTGTTTTCATATTATGGTTATAACGTGCATATCTCCATGGCTGGATTATGAGACAGTGGGCCACTGGGAGATTGTCTATCTGACAGAAAAAAGGCCCAACCACCTTTCCTGTGAGCAAGACACATTACATTGTTGTGTCAATTTTGTGTTTTCGTAGTCATGTTTTCTCTGTATTCTCTTGGTAGTTGTTATTGTCTTATTTTTAGGGCTGTCAAGTTAACGCGTTAATAACGCGTTAACGCAAAAAAAAATTAACGCCACTAATTATTTTAACGCGATTAACGCATGTGTATTTTTTGTCCTCGGCCGCCGTAGTTTCAGAGCGCATCGAGTTTAAAATACCATCTACAAGCTGATGCTGACAGCCCCGCTCCTGCTGCCCGCTTGTGGCAGACCACACTTCCACGCTCACCGGCAGGCCCGGACTGGCCATCGGGAGGACCGGGAGGGTGTGTGTGTATGTGTGGCGCGAGCGAAGCACACCTTACGTGTTGTTGTTAGCATCTGGTGCTAGCTAGCTGAGCTAACGGATATAAGGAGCTGTTTCAATGAAAACAGAGGAGCGACATTTCGCCGACAACTGCGCCGAGCACTTGACTTTATGCAGGTAGCCAGACAGCACACTCAGCACGGATAGTGCGCGCAACACAGCTCATACACACAGGCATATATGCCTTGAGCTGCACATAGCTCCAACGATCCATCACAGTGTCTCCACATTCTCACACACACACACACACACACACACACACACACACACACACACACACACACACACACACACACACACACTTGTATTATTGTATGAGAGAGGTTCCAGGTTGAATTGAGGCGAATATTTGTATTGTTCAGAGGTTGTTGTGTTTAATATTCATGAGAATATTTGTCATTGTTCAAATGATAATAAACAAACATATAAAGCATAGTTGTCCACTCATATGTTGATAAGAGTATTAAAAACTTGAAAAATATCCCTCTAAGGTACATTTAGAACAGATAAAAAATGTGCGATTAATTTGCGATTAATCGCGATTAACTATGGACAATCATGCGATTAATCGCGATTAAATATTTTAATCGCGATTAAATATTTTAATCGACTGACAGCCCTACTTATTTTAGTTAAATCTTTTTGTTCATCTTCTTTTTCAGTTGCTTTGTAGATATTTAAAAACCTAGAAGTTATGACCACATTAATGCCTCAGTACCTATAATATTATATAATATTCTAAATTGAGATATTTTGCGGAATGAGTACTTTTCCCTTTTTTCCCTTACATTACATTTTGATGCTAATACTTTCTAATGGTAATATCAGACTGTATGTATAAAGGCTAATACTTTTACTACAGTAATATTTATGAATTTTCCTTGTAACAGAGGTATTTCTACACTGTGGCAATTATAGTTTTACAATGGTAAAATATGAGTAGTTTGTCCACCAGTTTGATCGAGAAATGTACATGTATTTTCAATAATAATGATTTAATATAACCTATATGGTAGCAGCGCCATATAGAGAGATAGAGCCATATTTTCTATATGGCGCTGTATGGTAGGAGATAGGGACCTCTGCGGGTGACTTTGTTTCTGGTTAAATAGCACCATCTTGTGGTCATGCCGGGTACCCGCATGTCTGAGCCGTCACTCCCATGAAACACTCCCACACTACGTAGCCTTTCAGCGGATCTGGGTTTTTTGTGAGGCAGAAAAAAAACACGTAGCCATCCCGATACGCGTGTAAACGGAGTAATATTTACTTTTTGGATGACAGCTAAATGAATAATGAACAGATCTGCTGTTGAAGACTGATCGGCAGTAGAGAGTACAACTTTTGATGGAGTTTATGTTGTTGATGCAGTCCAAACACAACACAGAGGCACTGAGGGGGATCGGAATTTACCGGTGACAAGTCTGGGAGGAGAAAAAAAGAAAAAGGATCTACACGTTACATGGAGTTTTAAAAAGCCTACTTAATTTGAATCACATTTGCAACCATAGTTCTGAAGCCTTGAGTCGATGAAAAGTGCTTTAACAAAGGGACAACTACAACTTTTCCCCTTCTAGCTTCAACTTTGAGGAAACAACTCCAAACATGGCGAAAAAGTATGATTTGCTTTACAAATTGTTACTCATCGGGGACAGCGGAGTGGGGAAAACATGTCTGATCATCCGTTTTGCTGAGGACAATTTCAACTCCACTTACATTTCCACCATCGGTACGTTGTCTCGGTTTAATTTTTACCAATTAATCAACGACATATCTCTACCAGCTTATGATTGGCCTGTCTGAAACTTAGGACATGAGGAAAACAAATATTTGCTGTGTGCTGGCATTTAATTATTCCTCTATGTCATGCTGTACAGACTGGTTTCCCAGACTGCTTTCATGTCTCAACAAGTCCATGCTCTCTCATGACTTATTCTTTTTCCATTCTGTCTCTTATCTTTTTCTGTCTTTTGTCTCTTGTTGAATGTTTTGCTCTCGCTGAGTGTGTGTGCTGACTCTTCCCTGACCCTCTCCCCCATCTCTCCCTCAGATCTCATTCCTCTCTCTTGGCTCTCAGAGGGTCGACCCACCCTCATTCCTATCTTTTATACCATCTCGACATTCCCAGAAGAATGGTTGGCTTTCTGGCATGAACTTTTTTTTCTTACAAGACAACCCCCTCCTCTGCCCCTCACTGTCTGTCTGTCTGTCTGTCTGTCTGTCTGTCTGTCTGTCTGTCTGTCTGTCTGTCTGATTGACAGCTTGTCCATGCAGCAGAAAATAATCCATAACTCAAACGCAGTGTGTGATGCAGGGCTGCCTTTTCTATAAGACTGTTTTGTGGATGGAGGTCAAAATCAAAATGTGAATACCATAAATTAGTATCCACCCATGCATAAGTGACCTATATATTCTGGTGTGGTGTGTGTGTGTGTGTGTGTGTGTGTGTGTGTGTGTGTGTGTGTGTGTGTGTGTGTGTGTGTGTGTGTGTGTGTGTGTGTGTGTGTGTGTGTGTGTGTGTGTGTGTGTGGTGTGTGTGTGTGTGTGTGTGTGTGTGTGTGTGTGTGTGTGTGTGTGTGTGTGTGTGTGTGTGTGTGTGTGTGTGTGTGTGTGTGTGTGTGTGTGTGTGTGTTGTTTAAATCATTATCTATCCATCCATTCTCCTCTCTTCTCTTTCTAGGTATTGACTTTAAAGTCAAAACCATTGAAGTGGAAGGAAAAAAAGTGAAACTACAAGTCTGGTAAGAGATGACAGTTGGTTGCGTGTCTAACAATTCTTAGTTTTTTCTCTCTCTGGCTTGCTTTCCTGAGAGGAAAGAGAAACCTCCCTACTGTCCAGATCTACTTCCTGATCTGGGCTTTATGGCAGGGTTAACTGTCCACATGTCCATCAATTGCCCAACTCAGAGATTCCCTTTATGTCATACAAGTGTGTTTTTCTACAGAAACAATGTGGTTGAGGTTACTTTATTGGGAGGAAATTGTCTTGGCCAAATGGAAATTGCTGAATTACGAGCACGCATCACAATAAAACACATTATATAAATAAACACATGTGAAATCATCAGGCAGCGATAAACACAATCATCAAATCATAACAAGCTAATCACTACGATAAAAGGTAGAGAAATTATCAAAGGCATACATCTCCAACTCATATTATTAAAAAAATCAAATCCTTATTTGGCTAATTGACTCCTTAACCTTCTGTCTGTCCTCCAGGAGTTACCCATTGAATAATGTTACTGAGAAATTGTGCTTCCACAAATGGACCCTGTGCCTCCATCAAGGAATGATTAGCACATACTGAGAGTTAATCACATGATAAGCGTCAGATACAATCCTGTTGTTTCAGCTGAATAGTATATTGCTCAATCTGTCTTTGGGTGAGCAGTTTAGAAAATGAATGTTCCCTTAATTTTCCCTTGCAAGTTATTGAGGTTGATTATTTGAGCCTTAACCAATAAATATGACTATCGCCATAGCAGTGTAAAAAAACGTTTTGAATGCATTGTTCTGCAACTGTCTTTTTATATAACGTTTTTAGCACAATGTGCATGCGTCAGTGCACATTGTTCTTACTCTGCCTGTGTGTGCTCTTTGCAGGGACACAGCAGGGCAGGAGAGGTTCAAGACCATTACCACAGCCTACTACAGAGGAGCCATGGTGAGCACAGGATGCCAGCGGAACAAGCAGACTGGATAATCATGGCTGACATCACCGTGGCTTTGTGCCCACTCTGTACCTTTAACTGACTCCTTAAATCCTCTCTCTCAGGGCATCGTTCTGGTGTACGACATCACAGACGAGAAGTCCTTCGAAAACATCCAGAACTGGATGAAAAGCATCACAGAAGTGAGGATCTTTCCAAACAGTTGGTCAAAGTTATTAGGAAATAGTTTAAAAAAACGTTGCTTAGTCAGTTGTTTGTATAAGTCATTAGTATGAGCAATGTACACAACAGGGGATTTTAAAGGGTCAGTTCACCTAAATCCTACCGGGTTGTCACTTACTTTCCTCTAAGAATGAGAGCTGCAATTAAATACTTTTTTCACCAATTCATATTTTTATCTCATTATTTGTCTTGACCTATTTATGAATTTGTTATAAAATGTCAGATTTTTTTTTAAAGCAGACAAAACCCAAATATGTTATGTTTATCAGTGTGTGTGACTCATGGCTTTTGATTTTATTCAAAAGACCTAACTGTGTGCACAAATCTTTGTACAATGTGCCATTTAGGGGCAATATTTTAGAATGTGGATAAAATGTGGACACTTTACAAGGCCAGAGAGCACCAGGCAAACTAACCCTTTTTTCTGGAATGGCTTCAGAGAAACTGCTGTCTGGTCGTTTATTGCAGACTTAATGCAAAGATGTCTGCTCCCGACACTCCGCTCTGCAAATCTTATTGTAGACAAGAACTGAACATAATCAATTAACTGCATTCCCTCTTTCCCAGAATGCATCAGCCGGGGTCAATCGAATGTTACTAGGCAATAAGTGCGACATTGAAGCAAAGCGGAAAGTTTCCAGGGAGACGGGAGAAAAGGTGAGATGACCCAACATAAACTTGACTATTCCCTCTGTACTGTATCTGTTGTCGTATCTGTTACACTAAACTTTAATAATTGTATCAGAGCGATTTATTGCCTCTTTCTATCTTTTAAACATATGAGGCAGTTATTGTTTGAGAAAGGGATTGAGTGTATCAGACTTCTCATTTACTTTAGATAAGAAGCAATAAGTGATTATTGGCCATATCCTGACCTACTGTTATCTTGTCTATTGTTGGCAGTTGGCAAAAGATCATGGCATCAGGTTCTTCGAGACAAGTGCAAAGTCCAGCATCAATGTGGATGAGGTGAGCCCAATGTACCCAATGACTAACAAAACACTGCCTCCATGCATGAGCTGTTATGTATCATGTGTTTACATTCTACAACTGCTGAACACTTTCTTTCGATGTTTGCTTTAGTCTTTTCTCGCATTGGCACTCGACATACTACAGAAATCCAGCAAGAAACAAGTAAGTTGTACTAGAAAGAATACCAAGCTGAAGCATTGGCTCCTCCCTCAATATACTGTAGGACTGTAATTTCCTCTCTTTGTCTGTATTTCCTTCTCTGACAGAGCCCCACAGGTCGAGAGGTGAAAATCACGAGCAATACAGAGAAAAAAGCCTCCAAATGTGTTATTCTCTAGATATAACGCTGCCCAGCACATGTAAGATTACGCCATACAAATGTAAGAGCACATCAGTATTACTGGGGAGAAATTCAGCAGGTTTAAGTCTCCATCTAGTGGGCTCACATAGGAAACACAATCAGCTGCTAAATGTTAAAACACCCAAAACCAAGAAATTGTGGATTTCTTTCCTGAGTGGCAATTTTAAAAACGTGGTTTTGTTTGTATTTCCCATTGAACATATCTTCTTCCACTGATACTGCGGTAGTGTTATTGTATCATGTATTGTATTATAGTATCATCAAAATGTTGCAAAGAGGGGGTCTTAGATGACTTTAAAGAGAGATCTGACACAGCATTTCACCAAGCAATTTTCACTATGTTTAACTGAGCTATACATTTTTATTTCCACCTTGTATTTCTCTGGCTTCTCATGACATTATTATCACTACAACAGCACCGCTTACTGTCTTTTAAGAACTTTAGCTGTGTAAAACGGGCTAGATCTGTAAAAGAAAAAAAGGATACTATATTTTAGGGGCTTAGTGGAAAAGGTTTGGAAAGTGGTTTTATTTGCAGAAATGTCACTGTAGGCTTCTGATCTGAGACTCATACATTCTGTTGGATTATTTAAATACTTAACAGAAAAACATATTTCTTTTGTCAGATCCCTTTTGTATTTCAAGGATTTGTATAGAATTATATCAGGAACACAGACAAGTTGGCATCCCATTCTTGCAGTACCATATGGGGAAATAGTGGACCAAAAATATATTGAGTTATATACTGAACATGAATAAATGTCACAAAGCCTTTATATTTGTTATTTTGTTGATGTTGTGCCAAACAAATTGATTAAATGTTTCAATATTTAATTTCATCATGAGAATCTACAGTAGATATAACAATCCTCCCAGGGTCTATAATGTGGAGCTTTTTGGGTGACATCCTAAGAGAAGTTGATGAATGCATGAGGTTTAATCGGAAACAAATACGGGTGGTAAACAAGCTTTGTTTTAACAAATGAATGGATTGAGAATGTGGATGATAGGAACAGAGATAAGTGCAATATGAGAAGATGAGTGGAGAGATGAAACAATGATGGATAAAGCAAGTGGACAGGATGTGAGGGAAGCAACAGCGTTCACATGCCCCTCACTTCTAATTGATTTAGTGGGTCTTGCCTTTTATCTGAAGTGACTGGTTCATCTCTAAAACTACCACACATTAGCCACATCTGACAAGACAGTCTCCCTGTTCAAGCTATTTCAGATAATACAAAATGACTCTGATTAATGCTGCTCATCTGATCCGGACAGACATACTGGATTTCCTGTATCTGCCTTTTATACATTTCTTTCACATTCAGTGTCTTTTAAGACCTGCCACACAACTTTGTATGTGCGTTTCCAGACCTGCTACTTGATAAATAAAAAATGCTTAACATTAACAGAATGAGTGTGTTGTAGTTTGTCTGTCGGTAAGTGCAGAGGATTCCTGGAAGGATAGATATCCAAGAAAGTGGCATTGTTTGATGTATTATTTGAAGGTCATTGCTATGATGTGTTTTAGAAATGTACTTGTTAAATGTTATATTAAGGCTGCTTAGCACTCAGGTTATTTTAATTGGTATGCTATCTCTTTATAATGTAATCAACAAAAGTAAACATGCAAAGAGAATCAGAAAGCTAACATTAGGTAGGCAAGAAAAACCAAGCAAAGATAATAAATTAATGTATTCAGAGTTCATTTGTATATTATGCATGTTTTTCTTTTTAAAACGTTGTTTGAAATAACTGCACTTCTAGTTATTTAGTTGTAGTAGAAGAGGAAATCCTAAACAACAACGTCACAACGAAACAGGGTAATAATAGAGGAAGAAACCAAATATAGGCTTTTTTGAAGGTTCGAAGGTCTACTATTTCAGAATGCAAATCCAGATGCCGAGTATACACATACCAGGACTCTTACGTAACGAATGTGTCAACATATAGGCCTATAAATATCAGCAGCCAAATGTGGTTTCCTACAACAACAAAAGAAAGGGGCCCACATTGTACAGAACTTTTGTTTAGATTTAGATTTTTAGATCATTTAAGTGTGTGTTTGATTGCGGATTCCAGTAACAGGGCAGAAAGTGGCTTTGTGTTTCAAGGACACTTAAGGGAAGTCCTGTCTGTGGACCTGCTGGTGGATATATACCACAACTAGACCAGGCACTAATAAATACTCATTTGTAGGACCCACCCTTTTTATTCTTTTTAACCACTGTCCTGCCAATAGCATCTGTCATTGAGTCCCCACTACCCTTATTGCAGCAGCAGGAGGCTGTCGCTAGGCAACTGCCCCTCCTTCCCAGCATCAGCACCACGACGCTGCCTGCCGCATCTTCAGGCTCCTGCACGTCCTCTGCGTGCCTTGTCATCACGCTGGCCAGGTTTCGGTTTGCAAACACGATACATCTCGTTCCCAGAGCTGTGGCGAGGAGCACAGGAGGACAGGGCTGCAGAGGGAGGGGCGTGATACAAGAAGAAGAATTAGAAAACACTCGGGTGGATTTAAAGATGTTATCCCGGACATAGTTAGGCTATGTTGTTATGTGACGTCTGGTGGTGGGAGGCAGTGAGGTAAACGTCCGGGAGACACACACACACAAACACACGGGCTGAACGGGATGCCCGCGTGACTGCAGGGAGGGAAGAGGCGGTGGAGGAGGAGAGGGGGGGTCTAGGTGCTTGTGTGGACCACCGCAAAAACCCCGAGGTGGAGTTGTCAAAGATAGAAAGCTGTGAGGAAAGAACAATTCCTGCCTTGGCTGCTATTTTTGGTGCAGTTTGAAAATCGATGGAGGATATTTATTTCCTGTTCACGTCGAGGTAATTAGTCTCGCTTTCCCCGAACGAACCGATGTGATCTTGGGGCTTTGATCTCCACGCCGTCTTCTTATTTTTGCCGTGACAGGATGAGGACCAAACACAGGGTCGCACATGTTCGGATGTTGCTCCTCCCGGTGATCGGACACACGGACTCACCGGCTCCTGTCATCTCTGAATGCTGGGGGAGAAACGAGTGATCAGCTGCTCTCTTTGGGACACTTTAAAATCTGCGGCCTGCTGCTCGGGTATCCAGTTACCGCAATGCCACTGACGAGAGGTGGAAGAGGTGGAAGGCAGAAGATGGATAATAGGGAGCAGCAACAATCATAAAACAATTATGTTTAGGTTGCCAAAAAACTAGCTTCATTCATGTGATTGGGTTTTGATCATAGAATGATATAGAGTGGACTCTTTAGGCTATAGTGGCCTTTGATCTGTATGGGCTAAAAGAGACATTGTATTGGCTGAGGCTTATCATGGCTGAAAATGAGGTTAGTGTGGTGGCTGTGAGTGTGTAGTGGCTGCTCAATTCTCAACTTTCTGCTGACAAAGTTCTTGGACTCACTCACTGGACTATAGCGTGCACCATGGGGCATTGCGCAGAACCTATGGTACCTGCCAGTAGAGAGCTTGGTGCATAATTGTGACGAAGTGGAGCTCTGAAGCCAGGATTTATGTCTCTCCCTCTTCTACTCGCCTGCACTTCTTCCCACACAGCTGAATTTGGATTTCTAAACTCAGAGTAAACCTCTCCCAGCCTCCTCCACACACACACACACACACACACACACACACACACATCAAAGAGCCTGACATGCCTTCACCGTCGGACTCCAGCAGCGTGGCTTCGGCCTCGGGGTCTCGAGGTTGGTCAGACAGCCGCAGGGGCATGTCGGGCCGGGGGCCTGGGGGGGCCCGGCTGCTCCTCTACCTGGGGCTGTGCCACCTGGGCCTCGGGGCCATGGTCCTGGCCTTCTCCTTCACCAGCATGGCCTTCACCTCCTCGGCCCGTGTGAGGCAGTCTTGTCCATTTTGGGCTGGCTTCTTTGTAAGTGTGAAACTCAGTGGAAACATACAGTATTGAGAGTATAACAGCAGAGACACTGAAGGCTGTGTTTTCTAATTGTCTGCAGGTGGTGGCATCAGGAATAGTTGGAATAATCTCATGGAGGAGACCTCTGACGCTGGTGGTATGTATAGTTCTGATTAAAGGAGCATCCAAGTCTGTTAGCTTTAGGTGAAAAAACAAATGCCATGGAGGAATGCTGGATTTACAGGTTGAAGAAGATAAAAAGGGGCTCAGAAAACCACGGATTTGTCAACTATAGGTGATGGCACTGATTACACATTTGACTACAAATATGCACCACTATAATATCAACTCAAGTGAAGGCTTGATAAAAACATCTCTCCACCAGAAGCTGTGTGCGATCAATCATATCAGATCTTCTTCAGCAGATGAGGTTGTCATGGAATTGTACATCCTCAAGTTTTCAAATATTATTAACATGTGAAGTACCTCTCTTCCATGTTAGCTTAAAAGCTGTAATGACAGTCGAAAAAAACGTAAGGTGGTTCCTGCATTTTACAAGTATTGTTGTAACATGTTTGTATATCTTTACAATCCTATTTGATTGTCGGCTTATTTGATTGCATATTCATACATTCAGTAAAACAATACAAACTAAGAAACCTACAGCACATTTGGGGGTGGTTGATCTTGCCATGACATGAAGGGCATAACGTTTCCATCCAAATTAAAATCCAGGTAACTTCACTACCTCCTCCAAGGCTGAATGTATGTTTATTAGGGAAATCACCTGTCATACATACAGAAGAATAAAACCTTGCACACTCTCTTCCCTCCATCACATGAGTTGTGTGATCCTCCTCCTCATCAGAACGTGTCTCTGTTCCCCCACAGGTGTCACTGTTCATGCTGCTGTCTGCAGTGTGTGTGATCCTCAGTTTGGCCGGCTCCATGCTCTCCTGTCAGAACGCACAGATGGTCAAGTCCATGCTCACCTGCCAGGTACAGAACATTATTCAAGTGTTGTTTTCTGCCTCCTGCTGAAATGCCCTTGAAAGCCAGATGCACGGGGAACGTGTCAGGAATAATTTTGAATATGTATTTAGTGTTCAGTGTTTCACACCAATCCTGTGTTTGTGTAGGTGGAGAATGGTCTGTGTGTGTGTTGCGCGCCCACTCAGTCCTGCTCCATCACTGAGGAGGAGACCCTGGTCCTCTACCTGAACGCTGACTGTCACTCAGTCAGACATCAGCTAAAGGTAAGTCATTTCTTTCTATGCAAGAGTCACCAAACTATTAAAAGATTATTGTTCAAGTCTGTCTTAAAATAGTTCTCAACAGGTTTTCTTGTTGTAATGATTCCTCATGCAAACTGCCCATTAAAATATATCCTGTGTTGAAGGACAAAGATCTTGTTTTGTGCACAGATGTATTCAAAAGTCTATCTGAAACTAAGTAAAGCCATTAGGGTTAAACACGTTTACTTGTTTCTTAGATTGTCAGGGACAATGCAAAAAACATTGTAGCAGGTTATAATAACATTATAAAGATATGTTGTATATTGGATTTTTTACAAAGGCTTATTTGAGACCCTTTTCCCTTGTTAGCCACTGCTTAAAAAGGTCATAACATCAAGTGAACATCTCCCTGAGTTTCAGTGTTTTAGTACCAATTACATCTTTTTGTGACTATCTTTCCACTGCAGCTCAGGGAAAAACAAAGCATGTTTCAATGTTTATATAGGGCATGGGAAACTGACTATTGTTTTAAACAGACTCATTAATATGACATATTCCCACTATAAAATGCCATTACATTGTGAGATTGTAATCTTCTGAATGCATTTTTCTCCAAAGGACCTTTTGTTCAGTGCATGCGGTCTCAGCATTCTCTCCACCATCATCTGCACTCTGTCCACTGTGACCTGCAGTATCCACATATTCTCTCTGGATCTCGTGCACCTGGTGAGTACAGACACAGCACATTTGACATTTACCAGGCTGGCTTTTCCCCCCACAAATGACAAGCACTCAGCAATAAACTACACAGCTGCACATTGAAGGACAGACTTGTACTGTAGCATAATTGAAGCTCATCACATTTATCTGCTATGTGTTTTCCTTCTTTCCCTGCCTAGCTGGCCCCACATCGCTCCCGTTCAGTCAACCCAGAATGCACCACTCCTCAGGACGCCTTCCTGACCAACATCATGGACTTTGAGGAGTTTGTCCCACCCATCCCTCCGCCCCCCTACTATCCTCCGGAGTACACCTGCAGCTCTGAAACAGACGCTCAGAGGTACCACCTTCAAAATTGTTATAATACTTCAACATTACTAATGCACAGTGTGTCAAACAGTCGTACAAAGTATTCAAAGAATTGAATCTTAAAATGTTGTTATGGTTTCAAGGTTAGGAAATTGCCTGAATTTAATTATAGTCCCTAAAGAATGCTTGGTGTTTAATATGACCACAAATCTATAGATGTTTAAAATAAAATAATTGCGTATTCATATTTGTTCGTTGTCTCCTGGCATCTTAAACCAGACATCGAGCAATGGGAGCTAGCTAAGCATTAAATAAATTAAACATATAATCAATTATAATATAAACAGCTGATAAAATAAACAAAGTAATTATATACATTGATTGCTGTGGGTATAAATTCATTCTTTAGTCTTTTTTGGAAATATTTCAGTTTAAACGTGCTGAAAAAATACTTGAATTGAAAACTTAAAAAATGTAAGAACAATTTAATAGTCACGCAAACTATGATCCTTTGTTTACATTGACCACATTGAATGTGCAAAATAATGATTGTTTGATATTTTTTAATTAACGCCCAGCATCACGTATAATGGCTCCAGGGAGAGCCCCGCTCCTCTCTACCCCACGGACTGCCCCCCTCCTTATGAACTTGTGATGGGACAAAGAGCTGCAAGCCAGGTGAGTTTGTGTGTGTGCGTATGTGCATGTTTGTGCATGTGTGTTTAATTCAATGCTGATCCTTGTTTATTTTAATTATCAAGGCAACAGTGTTTGACCCCCAGGGCACTGAGCTGTCTGGAGAGAGAGGAACTTCTACTGCCTTCAGTGGAGAAGGTGAGAAGATGTTCAGTCCTAAAGGTTGTAAATGTGCTGAAGGGACATTTGGAGATATTCAAATATATCTGTTATTCAAAGTGTGATACTGAAAATCCTGAAACAGAGTAGCAAAATTAAAATGTATGATAATAAAACAAGCCAATAATGTAATTCAGTTATCACATACCGTTTTTTAAATCGGTAAACAAAAAAAAGGGATGCTTAATATAATCAAATAAAATAAGTACCTTTGTTTATTAGTGTCCATGGACAGTGGATCTCTGTTGATGTCAGAGATTGTGGACATCCCTGATGACTCCTCGCCCTCTGAGGACTCCTGTCTGATGGAGGTTGGGCTGCGGACCCGCGGGGAGAGGGGCCACAGGAACGTGAGTGAGGGGGGAGACGTAGGAGACAGCGGGGAGTACATCAGCTTCCGCGGTCCCCCGTCTCAGACGCCAGAGAGTCCTTTGGCAGGAGGACAGAGAGCCAGACTTTTCATCAGAGGAGAGAGGTCCAACTCCTGCTCTTCCCCCAGCACAGCAACCCCCACATACAGGTGAGCACCAACACAAATGTATGTATTAATATGAAAAAAAAAACTGTCAAATGTATTTTGTATAGCACCTTTCATAAAAGAAATGCCGCACAAAGGCTCTACAAAAAGGGAAATTAGACAGAATGAACATAAAACTGCTATATTTGTCCTATAATAACAAAACAAACATCTAAAATATTAGATTGAAAATATAACGCACTATAAAAATACTGAAATAAATGAATAAATTGAATACATAGAATGAATAACAAAAGATGGAAAATAAAACTTGAGTTAAAAAATATTTAAATCATTACCCATAATTGCAGCTTGCACATATAGAATAAGCACTAATATTGTAAGAGCTCTACCGTTCATTTGTAATGCCCTCCTCTGTCCTGCAGGTCTCCATTATTGCGTCGCCAGGCAGTGCTAGCTAGTAGCTGTTCCCAGCTTGAGGCCATCGGGAAAGCCAGCTCTCCACAGCGATCCTCCATCCCAGAGTTTCGAGGTCGGCCCTCCACTCCCTTAAGCCAAGGAGCTACCCCAACCTCCTCTGCTCCCCCCATTTCATCCTCAGCCACATGTGAGCAGAGTGCTGGTGATGGGCCACCGCTCACAGGTCAATTGTACCTTCGACGAAAGGCCGGGAAGAATGTGAAGAATGGAGAGTGGGTAAGAAGCGATAGTGAAGGGCTCCTTCGTCTGGTGAGGTCACACAGTGAACCGGGCCTCAGCTCCTCCACTGACACAGGTAAGTCAGACACGAACAAGAGTATATCTCCTAAATACCATTTTGTTGTCTAAAACCTGCCCTTGTATCTTCTCTTTTCTAGTTGACTTTGGCTCTGGAGGCAGCAAAGTATCTATAGACACAGGTAAGAGCTGAGCAATAACATCCTGCGGTAAGATCTGTTTGTTGAATGTCATCACTGTGTCTCTCTTTCAATCTCTCGTTTCACATTTAGCTGGCAGAAAAGCCGAAAAGGAAACACTTCTAAATTATTTAAATGACAAATATGCACCTAATGGCTTTCATTTATCAAACCCTCTTAGAAACTAGTGCAGATTCTACACTGATCTGTCACTGGCCGCATGTGATTTATTAATATATCTCACAAGATCTAAATAAGCAGTGATTTAATTTCAGATTGATGAATTAGATTCTGCTGCGGAAACAATAATGAGCCTCACCAGTTCCTCATGTACATGTTTTTATCAATTGAAGCATTCTGATTTATGAATGTTATGCTTCTTTTTGTATGAATAGCCTAACATATGAATAGATCAGGGAACATGTGTTCTTGTGTACGATGTTGACAACTTTATGTCAGAAAGGTAGTCCTATTTTGCAGTTTATTTAGTATTTGTTATTTATTTCAGGCTTGTTTGGTTAGTCCTTCTGGCTTTATCCCTCCCTAAAGTTAAATGTAGCCGTTTTTACCTGGCAATAGAAATAGTAAATGTGCAAACTGACTCCTGATGAGGGTCCAAATCTCTCTCTTTTGTCTCTGACTCTGATAGGTCCATCCTCTGAGGCATGCCTTCTTCCCCGCACCTCTTTGACTCCTGCTGAAGCTCTGCCAATGAAAGGCAGCATGAAATCTGCAGCCACAGGGGGGCCGATCCCCGCCAAACCTTCCCCCACCTCACCACTGCGTTTACCCAAAGACTGCCACCGTTCCCTAGGAGACCTCAAGGTTAGTTAGAAAAAAGATGATTTAGAAGCAAAAAAAAGGGCAATAGTTGTTCATCACATGGAAGTCTGAGCTGTTGTTGTTGTTGTCTTATTTATATCCTTCCCTTTTTTTTTTACTTATCCTTCAGGTGACTCGGGGTCTGGTGGCTCGCTTCCTGCAGCGCTCCAAACGCAACATATCGCCCTCCTCCGAGCATGCTGGGAGCACAGGGCAGGGGCCTAAGAGACGGAGTGGAGTTGAGGGCGCTGCCAACAACCACCTGCAACTGGAACAAGTATGACACCATCTCTGATTTGGCATATTTATGTTCCCGTCTCCAGCTCATTACATCAGAAAGTTCATTGTGTCGGCGAGTTAAGCCCTCTGCACTTTGCATTAAATATGATTCATCTCCAGGTGTTGCTGACCCCTTGGAGCACCAGAGGAGGACACCCCAATCATCACTCACATCACCCTCATCGCCGTGGACACCACCATTCCCATAGTGACAGTCGACACAACCGGCATCACGGCAGTCGGGCGCCAGAGGGAATCCACCTGCGCAGCTGTGGAGATTTAAGCTCCTCGTCCACTGCGTCACTATGTCGACTCGTGACACCTCATCCACCGCATGGGTCATCGGGAGCCCTCTACTCAGAGTCTGCACTGTGAGCAGGGGGAAGGAGGGATAGAGGAGGAAAATAGGACAGATATGAGTTGATGGGGTTGTTAGGAAGTTGGGAGGCAGGCTGATGAAAAGTCTGAGGCAGTTACGTGGAGATATCTAGCTCTGGAAATGAGTGTTTACTTCTTTTCCTCTTTGTCAACTCAGTTTGCTGAAGCCAACTGTCAAAATGGCCTTATTCAGTGGTGCTCTTTATCACTCTGAACATCAGCCCAAAGCTCACACTATTTCACTTTTCAACATCAGTGAAAGAGTCACTATAGATGCTGGGCAGTGGGTCCCTATTCGATCAGAATAAATCACACAGAGACAACAAGCATCTTTTCTGCTGTATTCTCCACTTCCCCTCTCTGAATACTGATCTGCAGACATATTTTTCCTCAAGACTGGATACAGAACTCGACTAGCATTCATGCTACAACAACCACTCACTCACATGTACATTCGGTGAACATTATTATGGGTTGCTATATCCTTCTGGCCCTTTTGTACATTGCTAATCATCCACCAGGTGAAGTGATCATGGAAACACATATTTGTTGTCTTCCATTGATCAAAAAAAGGATCTCAATAGACATATACTTAGCTGAGTATAATGTAAGATAAACAGACAATGTTGCAAGAGCTCACATGGAAACATCTTAACTGAGTTGCTGATTTTGTCTTTTTATTTTTGCAATTCACACTCTCCACATTTTTCCACTTTCACACTGGCCTTCAAAAAGGCAGCCAGCATTTGTAACATTGACATTAATGCACGCCACAGACACATGCTAAGCGTTTGAAATGTATTCTCTGTTGGTGGCCCTTGGACATGGTGGTATGATTTGCATATGTGCATGTTTTGCTACAGTCCCCGAAATACAGCAGGAACCTTGTGCATTGAACCCTGACCGTCTGTGTAACTATGTAACACGTCCTCAGAATGTCTTTAACTGCATGTTTGACGATGCTTATATCTTTTTTTTCCTCTTGCACCCAAGACTATGATAGTATTAATTTGAGATGTGTTTGTGTTATAGATAGCTGAAGGGGAAGGTCAGAGTCAAAGATGCGCAGTGCTCCCAAAGTTTTCTGTCAGATGGCTAAAAAAATGTCTCTGCAACCTAATTTGATTTTGATAAGGTTTGAAAATGATTGAAGAGCACAGGCGTCTCTGTGACACTGGCTAAAGTAGGTGGATCCTGGAAGATAAAAGGAGTACATTGCACTGTCACTCTGATGACATGACGAGTCTCTTGCAATAAATGTACAGACTAATTTGTTTTAGGGTCGGGCTTTGCACTATGTGTTGGTACGGTTTCTCTTTGAAATTGAGTGGGGTTGTGGATAGGTGGTAAATGAAAAAAACTTGGGCTGCTGAGAGTGAACATTTGTTGGTTTTGGCAGCTCTACATTTTGAAGTATATTAATATTTGTGTCAGATGGAGTTATTTCTTTTTTGGAAAGTATTTTTGGTGTGCTCACTAAGTGATGATAATGGCTCCATATCAGTAAAGGCACAGTTTAAAAACATTCATATGTATGTATCTCATTTAAAAAATGTACACACTTACACTTAGCCTGCACACAGAAACAGGCACAACATACACACCCTTATTAAGACACTAAGTTGTATTTCTACCTCCTGTCTTGCAAAAAAACGTTATTTATTTGAATAAATGTATATATGTATGGCAGGCTTAACAGGATAGAGCCTTGAAACCTGAATAATAAATGTTCTTAATATGACACCTATTCCAGATTTAAAATGCAGTGTCAATGGCAAAACTTTCAATGCAAGGTATGTATTTCAAAATATGAAATAAATTATAGACATTAAATTAAAAAAAGTTAAAAGCTTATGTTGATGTTTTGTAAATCTTATACAACATTGTAGGGTTACTTTTTTATGGGTTTTTATTAGCGTTTTTTTTCCCCTTTTCTATTCTATCTGTAAATCTATTATTAAAATAGGCTCACCTCGAGCTTCACAAATCTCCCCACTCCACCTTGACTCCACCTCTTCTGTAATCCTATTGGTAAACCAGTGGAAAAACCCATCCTGGTTCGATTGCACTGGCCAATCAAAACGCTCAATGTCAAATGGAGCCTTCCAAAGTTCACGCCCACATGCACCATTCGAGTTCTCGCAATGGATGCTGGGGAATTTAGTTCTGGCGCTTTATATTAAAACGGACTGCAACGTGACAGCGAACTACAACCTGCACATCCTGGTCTGAGGAGACGTTCACTGTCTTCAGTTTGAAAGCAAGACGAAGAAACAGAAGATAAACTAATAAGCGTTCGAGTACTTCACAATACGGGACAACAGGACAGTAATCATTATGGTATGAAAAGGCATATGTTTGACTCCAAAAATATTTAATTTGGCAATTTATAGCTAGCTTTGTTCACAGGCTGGATGCATGAAAACAATGTCAGCTAACGCTTCTTCTCATGATAGGGAAACCAACTTTAGCTAATAATAGTAATCCTGGCTCTTGTTTATGAGCTTAGTGGGCTAAGAGACCATGGAGCTAACCGGCTTGATAGTTATCTTCAACCGGAACAAGTTTAACGTTATGTTGTTATAATAAAAACCGGAACCGCTTGTTCACAGTTAGAGGACATTTAGCCGGTTGGGAATGAGACGTCTGCGTAGCTTGGTCATTAATGCCCCTCAAATATTCCGCACAATGTGGCGCGAGGTCTCTCCGTTCAAATTAAAAACCACATCTGCTTTGCTGTGCACCTCGTCTATCCAGGGAGACAGCATTTGCAATGGGACGCACAGCAGCAAAAAGGCGTTGCTGTCGGACCCTCAATTGTTTGAAGCCCAGTTTGACGAGCTGGTGACGGAGCTTTCAGAGAGGGACTTATCCGACCCGGCGCTGGCTGACGCACTCAGCAGGTTAAGAGAGGTATGTATGGTGTCATGCTTTGTTTCCTCTGACAGGTGCAGGAGTGGACTGCTACTTCATTTTGATCCTACCTGCGCCTGTTTTCCTCTTAGGTTTTGGTGTACAACTCCCCTGGAGGCAAGAGGAACCGAGGCCTGTCCGTGATTGGCTCACTGAGGGAGCTACTCCCGCCCACTGAGCTCACACAGGAGACCGTGCAGAGGGCCCTGGTTGTGGGATGGTGCATTGAGTTGGTAAATAGATGTTTTGTGTTTTTCTTACAATAAACCTTACATTTAAAAACGTAAAAAGTACATTTAGGATGTGCACTAAATAAACTAAGATGCAATGAAAAATAGGACTTTACAACACTTACAATTGCAAGTAAGTAATTAACATAAAATAAGAAATATACAAAAACAGTCATCCTTATGCTTTAAAGTTGAGCCTGTGTACTGTAGCCTTTATCTTGTCAAGTGTAAGTAAAAGAGGTCTGGCAAAAGAAAACTGGTATAAGAAATATGGAATAAAACACAGTGGTTCATTACACCTTAAAACAATGAATTCACAATATCTTTAACCATGTTATTTGTTTAATACTTTATTCAGACCTGAGCTCCACATGATCAAGGTTACACAGTTGTGGGGGGGTTGTAGGAAGGTAAAGCTGTTATGTGCTCCTAATGTGTCATAAAAAGCTCACAACAAGCACATACTCAGACTGACTGCTGTGATGACACTATGCCAGGGTGTTACGTTCTCTCGGTCATTAGGAAAGTGTTACGACTGTGTCTCTTTTGCTCGCAGCTTCAGGCATTTTTCCTGGTGGCAGATGATATGATGGATGGATCTGTAACTCGGAGAGGACAACCCTGCTGGTACAAAAAGGTGAGGCTTTATATTTCACAAAAAGATACTCAAATGCCTTGTTTGTTGATATGTGATTATTCATTTTCCACTATTAATGGTGTGCTCAGTATCTCAGGTGAATCATGTGTGTTTGTTTTGAAGGATGGGATTGGTCTGGAAGCCATCAATGATTCGTTTCTCTTGGAAGCGACGATCTACAGACTTCTGCGCAGACATTGCCGGGAGCAGCCCTACTACGTCCACTTACTGGAGCTATTTACTGAGGTACTTTACGTCCTGATTGATTAAACAGGCCTACACATTGACACATTGTTCTTACTGCATGTTACCGCTGTTTCAGACCTCTTTCCAGACCGAGCTCGGTCAAGCTCTGGACCTCATGACGGCCCCCCCTGGTCAGATTGACCTCAGCAGATTTACAATGGCAAGGTAGTGAAGAAAAATCAGTAAATAAATGTTCAGAGAAGGATGTTGCTTCCAAAAGTAAATGTGAATATTTGATTCTGTTCTTGTCTTTCAGATACAAAGCTATTGTAAAATACAAGACGGCCTTTTACTCATTTTATCTCCCAGTAGCAGCTTCAATGTACATGGTGAGTTTGTTTCTTTACTTTTGTCGTGTGTACAAATGAAACGGAGTAGTATGAATCAAATATTTTTCTTAACTACTTCATCTTACTTTTTCAGGCAGGAATTGAGAGTGAGGAGGAACACAATAATGCCAAACACATCTTACTTGAAATGGGAGAGTTCTTTCAAATACAGGTAATTCCTTAAACACATCATCCCTCTTTCCCGTCACGTATTGAATCATTTGCATCAGACTATTCAGTGTTAATAACCACCCTATGTGTATCATTTGCAGGATGACTACTTGGACTGTTACGGAGACCCTGCTGTGACCGGAAAGATTGGTACTGACATCCAGGATAATAAATGCAGCTGGCTGGTGGTGACGGCCCTGGAAATAATGACTGCCGAACAGAGAGCAGAGCTCGAGGTGGGACTTCAGATAACAACCCTCTGTTTTAACACTTTTATATATCCAAATAATTTGTATTCAAAGTTTAAACTATGGTTAGATATGATTGCAGGGAATTTGTTGCCAGCACATAAATTCAATTTTTAAAGTGTGGTATTTCACTATAATGTAGGCCTACTATGAATTCACTCGGCGGGTTTACTCCCTATTTCCATCACAAAATTACAAGAAGTATGCATAAATACTTTTGGTTAGTACATGCAACAGATAAAATACAATGATATAATTACATCTCAGAACTGTACATTTAAATTCAATCAATTACTAGTCGACAGATTCTCAAATTTTCCTTTTGATTCAATGTTATTAACGCAAAATATACCACCATAAGAAAATTGGTCATTCTTCAAGTAAGTGTAGTAAAATGGTGTTTTAAAAGATAGAAAAGCAGAACTGTGTGACTATATAAGTGTCCCTTCTTACAAATCTTTTAATACTTTATCCTATGTCTAATAAAATAAAAACAGGTCATAATACCAAATGTAACAATTCAAACAAACAGAATTGCTTCTCTGCAATAGATACAAATATTTATTAAAACGTACATAAAAACATGATTTATTGTAATAAAGTGCTAGAACAGAGAAACTATGTGTTCTATGGTTCTGACCTCTGAACTCTTCCCTGTAGGATGTGGCCCCCGACCCAAACGTTTACAAAAGTTCTATCTGAGTTGCTTTCTTGAAAATGATGAGCAAATCTTAAATCTGTCTTCCTCTCCTCTTGTAGGCATGTTACGCGCAACATGATGATGCCTGTGTGGAGCAGGTCAAAGCTCTGTACAACACCCTGCAAATGCCAGCTTTGTACCACAAATATGAGGAAGAGAGCTACCAGCGGCTACAGAAACTCATCGCGTGTCACGCTCAAAACCTTCCCCACTCAGTCTTCCTCAACTTTGCTAAGAAAATATACAAGAGGAACAAGTGAGAGGACAAACAGTGTCAGATTTATGAGCCTGGATCCATTTTGGGTTTGTCCATGACGCACAGATCAAGTCCTCGCCATTATTAAAGAGGGTTCGTCAAGGACAAGGCTGACTCCGATCAGCATGACCCGAACAGCTCTTAAAAATCCTGCAGGCAGTTTCTTATCGTGGCGGCTGTTTGTAGATATCTGGTTGTGACTGTCATTAAACAGCCTGCCTCTTCTGGTCCATGCTACCTATTTATTGAATGCAATGCATAATCAACAGTGTGTTGTTTTCTCTATTGAAGAAACCTGTAGATTGAAGAATGTGACTGAAATGATTCACATATGCTGTAGCATTCATAGAAGTGTGCACTGTTGAGTGCAGAGCAGGATAGAGAAACATATCAGAGAGTATAAATAGTTGTAATTGTTTCAATACAGATGTATTAGTTGGTTAGGGACTACAAGTAACAGTACATTTATGACAGCAGATGCACTCTGTCAAAGGGCATCTTTCTAATTCCATATATTTTCATATTGCTGCTGTAAAATCTGTACTGAACTGAATGTTATATCTTTAAATAAATAATAATGTGAAGACTATATTTCTTTCTATTACATGTTTTTGATGTTTGTAAAGCAAAAAACTGTAAATTCTTTCAATAATATATATATATACAATACTTATATGAAATATATTGTTTTGATTATCTATTTATTGTTTCAGCCATTTATTTTACAAAAATGACAATGCTTATTTTTCCATGTATGATAGTAATTCAATAATGGGGTGAATATAGTGGGGATTTTTGACATTATTATTAGATTTATCAAGTTGACACATTAATAGATGATTACAATCACGACTAGAAGCAGTAGTTGGGATATGTGAGGAGGATTGTATGTTAGTTAATTTCCTTAAAGCAGATTAATAAATGCATGGATGAGCTGCAGATATGATGTCACAGGCAAATGAGGCTCTTCACCTCAAAACTAATTATTTGAAGGACTTGAAGCTGAAAATGACATAAGATAAATTGAATGTGATGATAAGGCAAGTGAGGGGTGGGGTCTGGTTGGGTTGGGAGGGGGCTGGGGGGCGATGGTTTGTCGGACGCTCGCGAGAAGACAGATGCTGAGGCTGCCGTCGGAGAGAGAGTCACTTTCACACGGACTGGGATGTGAGCGAGCGCGACGAGATGGAGACCTTCATCCATCTTTACCTGAATCTGACTGTGAGTCGAGTCCGTATTTTGTATCATTCTATATACATATCTTTAAACAAATAATATGTTTTCTAATAAACCTGCATAGTGTGGTCGGATAAGCGAAAGCTCCTATTACCACACGGAGCCTGCGTATCAAGGAACATGCATTCCGCTATTAACAGTGACATTTAACGCATATTTTCTAGACAAAATGGATTATTATTATCATCGGTTTTAACTGCAATCTTAATATTGTGTGTAATATTTGAGAAATAGTAGGGGCGAATGGGCCTGTGGGCTACAGTATATGAGGGCGATGCGGATGGAGGTACCCCTCCTCCCCCCCCCCTCCTCCTCCCTGTCTCCATCAGCTCTGTTGGATCAATAAATGCATGGGGTAAATACTGTGAACGGGTTAAATTACATATGTACATTTGCTGTTATTTTTGTTTTATTTCATGGCTTTGTTGGTTTCAATGTTCATTCCGACGAAGGCCTAATGTTAGCTTACTAGAGTAATTTATATTCCTCACTGATGTGAAGGGCACTGTGGAGGAACATATGAGTAATGGCTTTGGTAGATGGGTTTTAAAAAGGCAGACTCAGTGTTGTTCAGAGCTGCTGCTAGATTATTTCATGCTCCAGTTACATTTTAAGTCATTGCTTCAGGTACTGTGTTTTTTTTTGAAACGTTATTTCTTTTGATCTACATCCTAGGCCTCTTGTCAACTTGTAAGGAAGGGCTGGCACAGATGGAGACAGTATATAAGTCATGATAATCAGTGCTCAGTGGAGCTGAACATGACTGATGAAGATTATGAGTGACAGTTATTAAGCGAGGAATTAGCTGACAATTATTATCATGGGGATTCTTAATATTTGTGGGTGGCTGTTTTCTGAATTTGAATACCAAGGAGACAGCATATTGAGACAAACATGCACCCTAAAAAACATATGGACATTTTCAAGTATTGGTGTAACTGAGCAATTCTCTAGGCATCTGAATATTTACAAAAAATAAAAATCTCTTGTTTAGTCTGACCGATGGTCTAAATGTTCTGTTATGTGCAGTTTTCTTTCATAAAAGAGTCCAAAAACATACGAGTATTCACATTTGAGAAGTTGGAACCAGTGAATATTTGACTTAAAAGATTAATTGAAAATCAATATAGTTGCTGATTCCTTTTCTGTCTGTTTTTTTATTTACTATTTGTGTTAGTTTGGTTATAATCCTTTTGTGTTGATCCTTTTTCTTTTCTACAGTGCTGTGTGTAAGACAGTTTGTGTTCATTTGTTGTATCCTCCCAGGAATTGGGCTGAGATAATTATAAAACAAAAAGCCCAAAAGCAATCGTTTTAATGAATAGTCCAGATGGTGGGTTTAAACTTCAAAGACTTTGGTGAAAACGTGTTAAGAGCAAGAAAACGGTCTTGGTTTGCAGAGAAGAATTTTGCTGCTAGTCGTTATTCACTGTGTGTCTCCCCTCCTTTGATGTTACAGGATCTTGGGAGTCAAGCCAAGATGTGACCGTCACCGCGCGTCATTGTTTGGATCCGTCCTGCCTTTTCAACACTTGTTTCTATAGCAACAAAAATATCAGAGAATACTTAAAAGTCCCTTTCCAACCATGCAGTCCTCTAGCGGCTCCTCTCAGCCTCCAAAGCCGCGGCGCTTTGACGTCAGCAGGCGGACCAATACCGTGGCTGGACTGAAGTCTCACGGCCCCGGTTTTCAGAGGGAGGACAAGAACATGAACACGATCGCCGCGGCCTCCCCACGCCGAGTTACCAAAACCCCTGTTGCAGCCACCAGGACCAGGGTGGGGGTGCAGCCTCGGGCACCGGTCACCCAGTCCAGGTTTGTCTCGCAAAGGTTGAGCCAACAAGGTCCCACCATCTCCAAAACAGCTAAGCCCAAACCCAAGACTCGTGCATCTGCCGCAGCCAAAATTGCACCAGCGGCCGCTCCACCTCCACTTCCCTCCGTTCTCCCTCTTGACACGAACTGCAACGAGCCGAGCCTCCCGTGTCTGTGCTGCGATGGCCGCTCCCCGCAGGACAACAACAGCATGTTTAACCATAACCACAACAACAACAACACCATCTCTATCCGACAGCAACTGAAGCTACCGCCTCCTCCGGCCCCCTTGCCACAGAGGCAGGATGGGAAAGGAGCCAAGGAGCCGTCTCAGCCTCCGTCACAAGCGCAGGCCCAGCTGGAGGCCTCCGCCCGCCCTGCTGCCACTCTGGAAAACAAAGGCAAGAATGCAGACGCTAGCGCTGATCTGGACAACAAGACAAATGTCAAAGTAGAGGAAGAAGATGACGATGAAGACAGTGGGGATATTGATATTGATGATGATGAAGATGAGGCTGACAATGATGATGACGACGATGATGATGATGACACCCTGGTCCCCTCGTGCTGTGACTGTCCCCCCTCCTTACTGGAGTTCTCGCTCTCCTCCTCCACCTCCTCGTCCTCCACTTCCATCAGCTCCTGCTCTGATCTGGAGTCTGACTGTGCAGATCAATCCGCCTCCATCTGCTCTTCCCACGACGAAGATAATCTGTCCCTCGCTCTGTCCCCCAAAGACCACTCTCTCCCACAAGCCCCTGAATGCAAGCCTCCTGCGCGTTCACCCCCATCCCTTCCTCTTAACTGCAACCCCTTCATCCTGACGTCACACTCCCCAATTCCCCCGTGCTCCCCAGATGAGGGTTACCCCTCTGCCCTGGACTCCCCTTCTCCAGACTACTTAGGAGTCAAAGGTGATTCAGAGGTCAACAAACTAGGTTTGCTTGACTTTCTAGAGTCAGTAGGGGAGTTTGGGAAAATGGAGCGCTTCAGCCAGGTGATCCAAGTGGCTCGTTGGGACCTTGAGGGGGAGCAACACTGGGATGTTCTGAGGGATCGACTAGACCACCTGGACCACCTGGAGAAGGTGAACAGGGAAGTAAAACTGGCTTACATCGCCAAACTCCACGAGAAGGGATTTGATCTTGGGGATCTTGAGGAGCAAGATCTCTCAGATGTAATGGATGAAATGGGCAACATCGACATTACCTGGAAGTTGTATAAAAGCGGCAGAGGAGCGATGGGAGACTCTCAGGAGTTTTCAGATGCAGGGGTTGATCTTACGGCTCCTTCAGACTGTGAGGACCCTCTCCTTCCTGATTCCCTCACTTCTTCTCCTGTCGGGCCGCCACCGAGACCCCCCAAACCCCCAGCGCGTCATGCCAGCGTGAGCTCTGACCTCCACACCTACATCAATATCAGCAGGGAGACGACCTCCATGGCTGTCTCCACCTCTCCCACCCTGTCTACTTTCTCCCCTAACTCCTCGTCCCCCACTTTCACTACTTTTAGATGTGAGAAACCCCTACCTCCATCTCCACCCTCCATTCCTCCCCTCCCAACTTCTAAACCTGTCCCTTACCTCACTCTTTACACCACCCCTTCTCCGCCTCCATCACTCCCCACCCCAACTCCTCCCATTCCTCCCCCTAGGAAGCGTCACCTTGCCAGGAAGGAGGCACAGCGGCTCGCTGCTCTTCAGGCCCTACAGGAAAGCACCCCCCTTTCCCTCCCTCCGCCTACCACACGTCCCCCACCTCTGCCTCCCCCGCCAGTTATCTCAATCTCCTCCTCATCTCCCCCTGCCATACCACCTCCACCTCCACCTGTCCTGCCCTCTCCCCCATCCTTCCATGTACTAGATGTAGAGATTCATAAGCTTTTGATGCTTGCTGGAGTGACCCAAGCGGAGCTTCTCAAACTCAGCCCAGAGCTCAGTGTTTGCGTTGGAGGGTTAGAGGATGAAGGAGATCATGGTATCTCGTCCAGGTGTGGGGATTCTTATGAGTTCAGATTAAATGAGAGGGAGGTGGAGAAGGATTGTTACAGAGATGGATGGAGCAGCAGAGGCAAGTTAGATGGAGATCGAATAGCATATATAGCTCAAGAAACTAACAAGGAAGAGGAGAGCTCACAAAGAACCACCTCGTTCACTGAGATGGCGAGGAGGAGGAAGAGGAGCTGCGGTCTGACCTCCGACCCCTATTACAGCACTGGTTTTAGCAATGCACATGAAACTAAAGCAAACAATATTAGCTTTGACTCTTACCGGTATTCTGCAGAGGAGCTAGATTCACCTCCCCCTCCACCTCCTCCTCGTCCTTTACCCCCAATCCCCCCATCTGTGCCATCCCACAAAGTGAGCACTCTTGTGGCTAACTCTGCACAGCCTGATCGATTTGATTGGCTAATAGCATTCACACCTGAATGTGAAGGCCCACCAAAGCTTCCACCCCTTGCAATGAGAAAATCTCACGTGGAAAGTCAAAAGAAGCCCAGCTCATCTCCAGGTTCAGCTCCACACGTCACGACTTTTAAA